CTTCATGCTACAGAAACCGAGATAAGCTCCGGCCTGATGGGCCACTTGGCTCGCATGCAGACTTTACCTTTTTTTATATCCGGCGCACGTTGATTGATTGATTTTCGACAACTCGCTCCGCGTCCCATCAGTGGGGGTTTTTTCTCTCCTATGAAAAGCCGTGAGGAGAATGGGGATCCTTGGGTTGGCAAGAAGGACTGTCACAAACGGCATGATGGGTAATGTTGTGAAAAATGGCGGAAAGCAGTGCCCTATGACAACTCGGCGAAGAATCGCTAATTTTGAAGCGTACTAGAGGACGTCAACTGGGGCTTAAAGATGCCGAAAGCTGGTAACAGCAAGAAGCGAAAGAGAGAGAGTAAGAAAGACGAGGAACCCGACGCGAAGAAAGCGAAATCGAAAGAAAACGATGGACCACACGAAGTTGAAGACAAAGAGCAGGACTGCACAAATGTTTTCAATCTCCCATTCGAAGAACAACAAGAAATAGATGACATCGATGAAAAGTTGGAGCAGAACGCGGCAAAGAACAACTTAACGACAATTAACGTGAAGAGTATTTTGCACGTAAGTTCACGCATAAAGAGTAAACGTCCTATTATGTTCTGCTGCAACTAAGATCTTCTCCATTGTCTATTTAGAGGACGCCATCACGACCTAAGTCAGTCCTTGCTGCATGTAGATTCTCACCACTAAAGACGTTTACAATTAGATTCTTACTCACCCAGTGACATGAATGCAAGATTATGACACGTTGTTCTCGTAGAATAGTGCAGTTCAATCCTTGCATTATTCAATCTACTGTAAACTTATTGGAGGTATCATGTCAGATCATTGCATGATCAGATCGTTTCACACTAGATCAGTTCCACATTAGCTCAATCATCAGATTTTTCCATAAAAGGTCAGATGGTCCCTCTTATAAATATTTAGATAAATACGGATCGCTCCTCGATCCTTGAGTACTATCAAATGTAAGTTCTGAGTACTGCTTTCATGATTGTTTGACCAATCAAATGCTGAATGATGTCAGGAATGCCATAATGATAGAGTGTATCATGATTTCACTGCAAACATGACTGAGTACTACTCACAAGATTGGCCATTCTAAGGCGATGAACTATTATAGCTGATGAACTGCAGTTAAGTTTATATTAACAAGTTCACTTGGAAGTTTAAGTACTATTATAGCTGATGAACTTCCAAAGGAAAATAAGAGATTTAGCTTGAGTACTTTCAAACCAAGACATGAAGAAGTAAGTTCAAATACAGTCAGGGAAGATGGTAACAAATTAGTACAAACTTGTTCTATGAATCAAATAAGCATTGATTAGGTCATTTTTCTTCAATAAGAATGTTTTCTTGACTTTTTGTGAGTGGGGCGATCTGTCTATATTGTGGAATGATCTGACCTTTTTGTGGAACAATCTAGCTTAAAAGGATATGACCATGAAACGATCTGACCGTAATTCTTATTGGAATATCACACAAATGTGGCCGAGTGAACAGTCATTCAATTTGGTTTTGTGTCTTAAGAGATCATATTCCAATGTCAGCAGATGTTTTTGGAGAGTTTCAAATGGGTAATGTCTTGTCTCCTCACTCTGTACATGTAGCTGTGCTTGTCTTGGATTCCTTTAGTCATTGTCCTAACTAGCATCCGTCACACGGATATAAGGTTTTCTCAGATAAACAAACAAGCTTCACTTCTTTATATTTGGTGTGTGTAGAGATCAGTAATCCTGTCTGCAAATTAATGTACAGTTGAACTTCTCTACAACAACCACCCTAGGGGAGTTCAACTGGTTGTCATAGAAAGTTGATCATTGTAGGTGGGTTTCAGTGAGAGTAGAGACATAGTTTGGTGTACTGTCTGGATACCAATGGTGGTGATGGAGAGTTGGCAGCTACCGAGAGGTGGCCAGTTTTTCAGATTCAACTGCAGTTTGCAATGCTTAAGTCATCCTAGCCAGGCAGCTCAGATATAACAGTTATTTTGATGATGTAACTGGTTTTTTGTTATACCAAAGTTACTTGTACATTTGAACAATGTATGTACCAGTATGTTTGAAAACTTCAACATCACCCATCCTCTAGTTATTGATAACAACTCATTGACTCTGAGTTATTACCAGTATATACTCTATTTTGTCTACTGCAACTACACAATGGTGTCTTTAGTAACAATTTCTGGTGGATGATTTACATCTTGTTTTGTATATTAACAGCATGTTGTATCTGACAAAAGAGTTCTTGCTATGGTGAAGAGTGTGGCAGCTGAACTTGAAGATGAGCAGGGTGATGCTGCCACGAGTAGCAATGGAGAAAGCCTGGATGTGGAACTTGATTTTGTAAGTAAAGACAGTGAAGCATTTGTGGATTTTTATATTCTCTTTTGTTAAAAACTGGGTCATTAGATAATACAATTCGAGAGTTTTCATTGGCTTAGCCATCATGGGTTATGAGCCTTTATACCTTGCTTTACAAATATGGTAAGTGTACTCGTGAGTTTTAAAGGCAGTTTGATTTATTTTAGTTTAGTTTTCTATATTTTGGGGGAATTTTTAATAAAACAGTTATTCCACTTGTACTTGTTGGATATGAGATGATTATACAATGTACATGTAGTCAACTCGGCACTACGTGCCTCGTTGGCTATCTTCCATCTCATATCCAATGCACACTCGTGGAATAATTATTGTTAAATATAACAAATGTAACAAGGAAAAATAACCCTGTTGCCAGAGATGGATGTCTTGAAAGGTCAGGTTGTGGCATTGGAGAATGAGAATGAACAACTAAGAAACTCTGTGCAATCTTTCAATGACAATTTAGTTGTTTTGAATACTACAGTGGCGGACACATGCTCCCAAGTTGCAGACAACAACTCTGAACTGCAAAAGCTCAAGTCTGAGGTAGAACAACTTAAACACAGAAACATTAAGTTGGAAGCACATACCTGTCAAGAGAACATAAAGATTTTCAACCTTCCGGAAATTACAAATGAAATACTAAGTGATACTGATTCATTCAATGTTTGTTGATAAAATGATGATTGCTAAAAGAGGATGTTGATGAAATGCGCTTAGAATAAGTTTATCAGATACCATCATGACGTAAACCTGGTCATGCCAAGCCTTGACTGGTAATAATGAAATTGAGCTTCTATCAGGTGTGGACACATAAAACGATTAAACTACACAAACTTGAATACACATACTTGTAATTCGTTGCTTTACGATGGTACGACTTTTACAATCTTGTACGGTTTCGAAAAATAAAAACAAAGGAAAATTACAACTATAAATACGTGAAAAAGACTAGACAGGCAAGAAATGAAACCAAAACTTACGTTTGTGTCCTTATAATGTTGACAATGACGGTATATGGGTGTTGAAAATGATTCCCTCTAAACAAATTGCTGTGTGCACTACTTCGATTGAGCACATGCTTTTTGACTCGCAACGCATCTCGGGATAATAACTAAAGAGTGTGTGACATCATGCGTAATGGCAGTAACATCCGGATAAACAGTTTGTATGGTAGTATGTCAAAAATCTGAAAAGCACTGGTATAGGACTATCCCACAACTACAGTAGGAAATCACCGAGATTCATGAAAAACTGTACTGTAAAATAACACAACAGCAAAAGCTTTTGAACACTGGTAAACTCCAAACGCTTTGGAGTTTATGTTCTGTTATCTCAGTGAATCTTAGCACGAATCTTTCAAGAATATGGTGAATCTTACAAGAGCAATACTGACATTGAGAACCTACCATCTCAGGTAGACAGTTATCCGAATAATTTAGATTTACCGAAATTGACAGAGCAAAAGCAATCCTGTGAGGGCGGTATTTCTCTAAAGGAATATGAATTAATTCTGAATGCCTTCCAGGATAATAAATCCTTTGGAACTGATGGAATTCCAATTGAATTTTATTTGGTAAAAGATTGCTGTACGAACTGTGTAAATGAATCCTTTAAGTATGGTGAAATGTCCAATTCCCAAAAGAGGGCCATAATAACACTTACTGTATAGAAATAAAAAGAAAGGGCCGCACATTTCTGGAGAATTGGAGACCAATTTCTCTTATCAATGTTGACTTTAAAATCATTTCCAAAGTCATTGCTGCAAGAGTAAAAAATGTGTTACCGAATATCATTCACCATTACCAATCCGGTTATATTAAAGACCAATACATTGGGGAAACTATAAGATCAATTTTCGACATAATGGATTTTACAAAAGATAATAATTTGCCTGGACTTCTTGTTTTCATTGATTTTAATTAAGCCTTTGACTCTTTAGAATGGCATTATCTGTTTAGCTGTTGCGAGGCAGACTTTATTAACTGGATAAAAGTCTTTTATTAAAATATTTCAAGTTGTGTTATAAATAATGGTGTTACATTTGACTGTTTTACCCTTGAGAAAGGTGTCAGACAGGGGGATCCCCTGTCCCCATATCTTTTTCTTTTAGCAGTTGAAACTTTAGCAATTTCCAAAAGAAAAGATGAAGATATCAGGGGAAGAAAATGTAGCTTCTGAAGAAATAAAAATTCTCCAGTATGCTGATGATACAACTGGTACTCTTTCTGACATAACCTCAGCTCATGCTCTGTTAGATAATCTCAACAATTTCAGAGGTTTATAAGGGCTTGCAGTTAATTTATCAAAAACTGAAGGGATGTGGATTGGCTCTCTCAGGGGAGTAGTAGATTAAAACCACTTGGGATAAAACGGCCTGAAGACCCTATTAAGACTCTTGGAATCCAGTTCACATACGACACGAATCTACTTTATAGTACAAACTTTAAATGTAAAATGGAAGAAATGAAAAAGCTTGTAAATATATGGTCTGGCCAAGGGCTATCCATTTACGGGAAAGTTATGGTCATCAAATCATTGCTCTTTTCTAAATTTGTTTATATCTCAGCTGTACTACCAACACCATAGCATCATATACAAGTTAATGTGGAATGGTAAAGATAAGGTCACAAGATTTTCAGTTATTAACACTTATGAAAATGGAGGGATAAAAATGCTAGATGTAGAAAGTGTGATAAAAGCTACAGGTGACTAATGCTTGGTTAAGGAGGATATTTGGTAATAACTGTGGTGCATGGAAGACATACTTGGCTAATATTTTACAAGAGCAAGGTGGGCTCTTTGTATTTCTTGCAATTACAACATTGGAGATGTTAACATAACCTCACAATTCTTTAAGGAATTATTAGAATGGTGGACTAAATTTCAGGAGGACTTTGGGGAAGATCATAACTGGCATAATATAATTTGGAATAATAAAGATATCAAAATCAATGGAAGATCAGTTTATTACAAAAGTTATGTCTGCTCCAGTATAATTTTTGTAAGTGATTTGCTCTTTGAATACAATAATATTGATTCATTTAATGTAGTGTTTAACAAAAAAGAAGACAAATTTTTTGACATGGACGGGCCTTAGACTATCCATACTGAATAACCTCAAACATTCAAACCATAACTCTTCCAACTCGGATCCTTCTTTTAAAATTAGTGACACAATTTTTTTTGCAAGTGAAAATATGAAAGATCATATATTTGAACTGCAGAGAAAGATATGAAGACATGATTGATCATCACAGTTATAAAAACAACTTAAGCAGTTGTGAAACTTAAGCCTGAAAAAAGATCAGGCCTGAACGGGATTTGAACCCATGACCTCTGCGATGCCGGTGCAGTGCTCTACCAACTGAGCTATCAAGCCAACTGGGAGCTGATCATGTTGTGAGTTCATTATATACCCGTAGATAGTGAAGAATACAAGTGAATATATGAAAGATCATATATTTGAATTGCAGAGAAATATATGAAGGCATGATTGATCATTGCAGTTATATAAACAACTTAAGCGATTGTGAAATTTTTCAGGCTTTCATTTCACAACTGCGTAAGTTGTTTATATAACTGCGATGATCAATCATGTCTTCATACAATTTTTTTTTATATGTAAAGGAAAATGAAGCTGAAGACTGTTACAAGTTTCTAATAAGGAAAAAAGGTCAATTATCTAATCATGCCAAAAAATTTAAATTAACAACTGATGATATAAAAAAGGTATTTATTCTCCCTCACAATGTTGTTGAGGAGCCTTATGTTAAAGCCTTTGAACTCTCTTATACAAATTCAAAATTATATAAAATTGGCAGCATCAAAGATAGTCTATGCACATTTTGTGGTGTGGAAACTGAAACTTGAAACCATAATAATTTTTATTGTACTTTTTCTACGTCATTCTGGCGGGAGTTTGAGCTCTTTTACATTACTGTTACAAAGCAGCAGATAACATTAAGTCTTCAGGAGGTTATAATTGGTAGAATATCTTCTAGCCCCTTTCTTAACTACTTGATTATTATTGGTAAAATTTATTTGTGGGATTGTAGAAGGATCAAAGTACTTCCATCTATCACTGGTTTCAGTTTTAAACTTAAAGAAATAAAAAATTAATTGCTGCTTATTTTAAAGGCTTTTCAAAGTAAAGAAGAATGGCGTTTTCCTTTTTGGAATATCTTTTTTCGTGTTAGAGATATTTAGGATTTTGTATTATGCAAATGAGGAAAGTGATGATGTCATAGGTGGTTCCACTAAAACAGCACAACACTCAATCAAGAATAACTCTAGAAATATTAAAGTAGTGTTCTTTAAACTTGGCACCAGCAATGTACATCACAAAAGAAACACACACCGGTCGTGCCATTGCCATGACAACAGTTATGCTGCTGGTTCTGTTTCAATTAAGACTAAAATTCCCAGATTTTATCTCAAACAAGGATCATCCACTCCCGACAATCTAATGGGGAGAGTTAAGACAATATGGGAACCATGTGTGTTCTGAGCAAGACCCTCTGTCCCACTTTAAAAGGTTACAAATGGGGATATATGGTTTTTCACAGAAAGAGACTGGAGCCAAGAGTGTTGCCATGGCAACAACATAGTGGGTGTCATTCTGTTTGTTTTGTGATTGACATTGCTGGTGCCAAGTTTGAAGAATACTGCTTNTGAAGATGACAGAAGTTCTGTCGAAACATGTCTTTCAAACTTAAAAAATTGGTCGTTTTCCTTAAAATCTTTAGAATATATTTGTTTTAATTAGTTTAATCAGTCTGTCTTTGTAATTAGTTTGATTGTTTTTGTTTAATATAGATTAATTTAAGTCAAAAACCAAAATTGTACCTGTAGTAATAATTCAAGGTTCGTACGGGTCATGGAAAAACTGGAAGTCATCGAATTTATTATTTCAATTTCCAAGCCTGGGAAGTCATGGAATTTAAGTGAGGGTCATGGAAAGTCATGGAAAAGCAATAGAATTATGCTTTCTGAGAATAAAAAGGCCATAAGATAAAAAATTGAAAAAATAACAGATGAATCAGAAACAGGCTTTCATTTCATAGGAAAGAGACACAAGTAGGCATTTTATACATTATAATGCTGGAAAATATGTTAAATAAATGATTGTTGTGACACTACTGTGAGAACAACTGCTTAACTTAGATCATGGAAAACTCTGAAAGGTCATGGAAAAGGTCATGGAAAGTTGTGGAATTTTAAGAGCTTAAAAGAGTACAAACTCTATAATTTATGTTAAGGCTTACAAGCTAAGGTACATGTAGCTTCCAAAAGTACTAGAGGTAGGAGACATACTCTGATTATAAAAGAGAAAACTTGATCCTCCTACAAGAGCCTGTTTCTGGTATTTACACAGTCAATAGTATGTAATATCAATCTCACAATGGGCCGGCCCCAGAATATATTACCAATGTTAAGTAATATAAAACCCACAAGTTGTTGTATGTTTACATACTCAAGGCACATGGTCACTTGTTATCCCTAGGGTTAAGACCACTACATGTGGTCGGCACTCCTTAACCATACTATGAGTAAACTATGGAACTCCCTCCTCAATACCGTCAGGTCACTATTTACAGTTGCAGCTTTTAAATCGGCAGTTAGAAATTTGCAATTTGATACTGATTGCTGTATGTTTTGTAGATGGCTGTTGATTATGTATCTCAGTCTATGTGCTTATTTTGTACTTAGTTATTGAATCATTTACATAATTATATGTGTTTAGTTCTTTACACTTGTTTTCATCATTCCTTACAGTACTGGTATTTACGTTATTTCTTGAAGATATTAGCAATCTTGCTGCAGTAAATTATTATTTTATAATGTATTGAGTATTGTTCTTCATGCAAGTCTGTTACATTTGTAGCTACAGTACATTTCATTGTAATCAATTTTTAATTACTTTTAAATTCTTAACCAGGCACCTAAAATGACCAGAGCAAAGAGTAAACAAACAAATCAAGGAGATCCAATTGCTGTACTGGTAAGAGAATACAATGTAGATGCAAACAAATTTTAACTCAAAATTAAGATAAAAATGTTCACTGGCTAAAAAATTTCAAAAAAGAACATCAGCTTTCAGCTGTCAATCTACAGCCTTCGATAGATAAAAATGGAATGCAAAATGATAAAATATATGCAGGAAAAGGCAAAATAAAAATAAGAAGAACAAAAGCAAAGTAAAAATGTGTAAATTAGGTGACCATTGTTTAAAAAGAATACTATACTGGTTTGGAATCGGCTTAGAACTATTGTCAGCATGCTTGGTAGCAGAGGTGTGCCAAGCCTCCAAAGTTTTTCTAATGTGAAAAGAGCCTTTGTTGATGACACTAGAATTATCAAAATCTATGCGATGGTCGAATGATCTCGCATGTTTCGCAGTGTTTGATCCATTAGCACATGTTTTGACGTTCCTGATATGTTCTTTCTTACGAGTTTTAAAACACCGGCCAGTTAACTCAGTAATTGATAATCAATTGGTAATTAATGATGTTTTGGCAAAACAAGCCCATGTTGCATCACATGTAATTACTGGCATAGTGTTTATGTGAGAGACTTACTGTATTATTTGGTTAGCTCTCAAAAAAATATGAAATATTGTTTTTCCACTACTGTTTGATATACTGACAAATTCTATGAATTTTTGAGAACCTTGACCTGAGACTTGGATGTCTCAAGTTAAGGTTCAACACAAGACTTGCAACATACAAACCTATTTGAGTGACATTTCAATGCTTGACTTACATTTGTGAATAGGTTAACATACTTTTGTACAAAGTAATACAGTTGGACTGGGGCATTTCAGTGAGGGCCAGGCACTGGGCAAGTTGACTGGCTGTGAGGATGATTTTACCTGCCTGGTTTGACCATCTAGAGGACGGTTTTTCTTACAAAAAGGTTCAGTTCAAAAAGTTTTGCGCACCTGTGAAAACTAGTTGCCCTCCTGCTGAAAATGTTAATGAAACCCCAGTCGGACTGTTTACTTTAGTGCAAGCACTAATTAATCAGCTGGGTGGCTCCCTGTCCTTCCCCATTTATGCTACCTGTCCAGTAAAATGAAGGTTGACAAGCTCTTTCAAGACAACACTTGCCTGTCGACTTTTTTAGTTGTTCCTGAGGTCTGTGGTTATCAAATAAAATATGTCTCACCCTACGTTTGCATATCCGTTACAAGTCAGAACATATGATGCTCTTGTCAAAAACTCCTTCACATTCAAGACTTGCAGCCTTTTCTTTTCCAGGCATCTCAGTCTCCCATAAAAGAGTTACGAACAAAGAGGACCTCAACAAAAAAAGTATGTCTTAATATTTTTGGAGAATGGAATCAACTGTTGTAATCGTATTATTTAACATATATCATAAAATGGTATTTGTAGAGCAAATGAATCATATTGAAGCATCTTTTTCAAACTGAATCTGTGGTGCAGATGATTGTTACATTAAAGGGCCCATAATGTCAAAACTACATTTCACCTAATGAGCTTCTGCGAAAAAATTTTTCGATTGGGATAAAACGCAATTTTTTTACGAATCATTGCAAAGTTCAAAATTCTATTTTCTTGCGGTCGACCCCTGCTGCTGATCACAAGAATAACGTGCTGAAAATGGCCATGAGACTGATGCCTGTGACATAGGTTCAGGAACCTACGATGAAGACTGATGTTGTTTTCTGGATCATCAACGTTGTTACAAAGAGCGGCAATGCACCTTTCCAGCATTTTCAACTAAATGTACACAACTCTGAATCAAAATTTCCACTTGTTTTCAAGTCAGATAAGTCCTGATCCAAATCACGTGTTCCTGAACCTATGTCAAGACTCACTTCAAACCAAGGAAGACTGGCGGCAGATTTGAACGTCTTTAAAAACTTATAAAAAATTGCATTTAATCCAAATCAAAAAATTTTTTCGCCGAAGTTCATTACGTGAAATGTAGAATTAGATGAGCGAAAAACATTTTTTGACATTATGGGCACTTTAATATATATATGTACATGTGCATGTACCTTGTCTAATGGCAGTCTATTTGATAGCTGTTAACTTGATTGTGTCTTGTTTTTACTGCACTTATGGTTATGATCTGAACCATAAACTTACATAAGTACTGACAAGGTCTTTCATGTTTGATATACATTTGTATTGCAAGAAGCAGACATTTAGGGTGTATGTTAGCTTTTGACTTTCTTTCTGACTAGTCATACTTAACTTTTGGTCCCAATAAATTTGAGAGGCTATTTTGTTTTACCTTTTCTTGTAGAAGATTCATTTTACAGAGTTGGAACTTCCAGATTCATCATCTGATGAAGAATATAACCCAGATAATGAAGAGGTACAGTACAGATAATCCAGAATAGAATTGTAGACTTATGATCCAGATGCGTGGGTTCAAGCCTGCTTGTGTTCATTGTTTTATATTCTTGGGCAAGACCCAGATATGAAGATATGGTCCAGACCTTTTGGGGGCACTGCACAGAAAAGCCTATGTACACTGTAATTAGCAATACTCTTTAATTAATATTCAATAATAAAATGAAAGTTCTGAGAATCAAGGAATAGCATAGCAAGCCACTCAAGGTGTGCATGCAAACTAAACTGTTGTGATTTGATGGCTTTACCTTCACTCTGATGATTTTTTTTTCTGTTTTTTATTTTTATTTTATTTGTTTTTTAAATTTTCCAGGATGGGAGTGACGAAGATACGGAAAGTTGTGTATCCTTTACCAGGTAACACTGACATAAACGCTACATGTACGATCTGAATCATTGTTTAATATATAAATTTCATGGCAAATGTTTATTATATGAGAAAAAATGTGATTATTCACAAATACGATATTACCGGTAACTCATTTTCACACCTTTATTAATATTTTTCAAGGAGCATTCAGATGTTAAGCACCTTTTATTCTTTTAGCTAAAAATTTATTCTAAAAACTCATATGTAACTACATGTATTAATGTACTCTCGGCAAGACCTGCCTAAAAAGAAGTCTTGCTTCACTGTTCACTTTCAACACACAGTATTAAACCAAAACGATGACTGAAAATGTAACCAAGAGTTATGTGAGAATTATGCCAGTATAAAAACCAAATCTATTCAAAGTGTTTTTCTCAATTTTCTTTAGTATCCAACACAACTGTGTTAATAGAATGAGTGCACTGCTTGAATACAGGCTACCATGTGTATCTTACTTGTGAGTAGAGAACCAAACCCCTTTTCCTCTTGATTGTAGTGACCTAGCTTCACCTCAAGTTCCTGGCACACCAGAGAGGGAGAAAACAGATGATACAAAAGCGTCAGAAGACAACACAGAGAAAACAGGTGCTGTAAAAATTTCTTTATATGTACTATGGTACGTGTTGTTGTGATGCATGGGTCATGTTGTTAAACTTGGTGCATTTGGCAATAGTACACTTGAACCTCTGTCTTGCAGTTGCTATATTTCACCTATTTGTCAATGTGCAGTTTCAGAAAATATCCATTCTCCCTCCACAGAAGGGATTGGAATTTCTGAGGAAGGAGGGTAGGGGGTTCTCTAAGAACAGAAAATTCAAAGAAATTCATGAAGTTTAATTGGAACTTCCAGAGAGGTGGGGGTGTTGGAAAAAACCCCTTCCATGAGGGAGGTATGGATATTTTCTGGAACTATGTCACAATAACTTCTCAGCCCCAAGATCAAGATACTAATGTAGTAAACTTTTCAGTTCAATGAGTAATTTATTGTATTTAATCATCTTCCAGTGACCCGATCCCTCAGCAAAAAGCTTTCACAGGAGCCTTTTAAAGTTCCCTATCCAGTGGCATCAACAGCTTCAACACCAGTTGAGGAGGTATGAAGTAAAATTACTTTTAATATCATCAGTTCAGCAGATCTGTGTGCATTGTTTTGTGTGTATTTTCTTTATAAAGTGTCATCATCATCATCTTATCTTGTTGTTCCAGAAGGGGCATCCATCGTGCATCCAACTCTCCCTGTTCCCATGCTGCCACCTTGGCCAGTCCTTCCACCCAGCCTTCTTTCTCTTTTTCTCAACAGTCCTTCTCCAAGTTGTCTTCGATCTCCCTCTCACCCTTTGACCTTCTGTTGTCTACCCCATTGTTGTGAAACAGTCATGAACACCCTCTCTTCTGAATATGTGTCCTAACCAGTGTTCCACCTTCTTTGTAGTACCTTACAGCTTACGTCATTTATCTCTGCTATTCCAACCATTCTATTGTTTGTCATTCTTTTCTGTCATCTTATCCTCAGTATTTGTCTCATAGCAAATTGTACCGAGTAATGCATGTTTTTAAACAGGTAATTTCTACAAAGCAGAAGATATTAATTTGTAGCAGAAGAAACCCCCAACATTAATGGACAGATTGGTTCCTGCCCTTGTGGCAACTTTCCCAAGGTTTTGACTTTGATGTGCCTTTCCCATGGTATTGAGAGGGTTAAACTAGGTTAAACCAATACTTGTATATTTATTTTCTGAGATATCAGCAAGGCTTTACATGAACATGTGATGTGTGCCCAACCCACACTTCACAAGATGATGAACTCCCAAACTGGTCATAATGCTGTGTCCACTCTTGTTTAGCCATTTTTCATATTAAGTCTGTTTGCTTCTTTTCCATGAAGTTGCTGATGCATGGAGCAATCGTGAGAATGACAGTATATTTATCCTTACACACTTCTCTTCCAGGTTGCTGTTGTTGAAGATGGTGACCTAATAGCAAAAAGGACTCGCTCTCAGCTTCCACTTCAGGATGTACCCATTGAGAGTATAGAAGGTATTCCAAGGTTTGCTAGATGCTGAATCTGTTTAATCTGTTTTGCTTTTGAACAGCTGAAAAAAAGATTGACTAATGGTCGACTTTTTGTTGTTCATAGCAACGTTCCAACCTCCAGACTTCACTGCGGACATGTATGATACAATCCGGGAAGATGATTTGGACTTTGAAGACATTGAATGGCAGAAGTGGCTTCAGGGACTTATAAACTCAGGTACACTGCAGGGCAGGACTGGCGACATGTACTTCAGCCTAGTCCCCCCCAAGGGGGAGGGGGGTTGATCCCAGAAAACTTGGGTGCGATGTGTGCAACACACTTTCCAAAATCCTTCACCCCATTTAAGACCAAAATCTGTGATTTTCCTTACCATTATGACCTGACCAAGAGTGTTAAAGCCAATGTTTATATGCTGTTATTAGGTAGAATAGTTTCTTCTGAAAAACATACCCAATTTAAGACTAGAGTGCAAAAATGATACCCTATTTGAGGCCAAAATGGACAAAATCATTACCCTATTTCTGACTAAACAGCTATAAAACATACCCTTTGGGGCCACACATACCTATATAGTCCATAATGGAGTACCCCCTTCCTTACGACTAGTTGTTCAGTTTTGTTTTGCTGTTTATGTCTGTAGATGATGTCTGTGGGGATGAGGATCATGAGGACTCTGAGTACAATTTTATGGCTGAAGATCAGAAGGAAGAAAAAGAAGAATATAGGAATGACAGGGCTGTTAGAATACCAAGTAAGCTACTTCTCTTACTTTAAGTTATTTCATCTTGACATGCACAGGACTTCTACTTGCTTGCATTTTATTTTTGTTTCTGTGGAAATTTACCATAACAATACAGACAAGAAAGGAACTGGGATTAGAAAAAGAAAATTTGCAGCATTTGAGTCCATTTTAGAGTTCCTTGAATGTGAGGCATTTTTAGCCAATTTTGAAAGATCCATTTTTACTCATTTGCGAGGCATTTTTCAATTGATATTACAATGTTCTGTGTTCTGATAAGTTGGATAGTACATGTAGCTCGCAGTGATTTAATTTGTGAGGCGGTGAGAATCGTGAGTAAAATGGTAGAAGTGCCCAGATTCAGGCATGTACCCTTGACTGTTGTGCATGCAGATCTTTGTAGTAACAGAGACACTAGGCTCTTCACAACCATCAAGATGTACATGTAAAATGTTAGTTACCATCTTTCTGTTGTGCACAGTTGCCAGTTTGTAGAGGTTATCAGTGGCGGATTCAGACCTTGAGCTAAGGGGGCGGTTTTGTTTTGCATGCCCTGCCGGCTTTTCATCCTTCTGTGAAATTTTTTTTTACTCAAAATAAGGGGGTTATAGTGCCAGAATTAACAAGTATTACTTTGATATTGTTGATATTAAATTATGCCAATGTTTCTTGATGGCTTGCAGAGAAGGAAGTCAATGAGTTACTTGATGAATTACTGAAAGATGTGAGTATGTTCTGTTTGCATTATAGATTTCATGCACTTAATATTGATTGGAATTGCTTTCCTCAAGTTGCCTAGCATGTGACAAATTCTGTGAGACTCAAATGAAAATTAAGATATGTTAGCCATGTTGTTTGAACGATGACAAGAAGCCAATGAAAAATTGGTAATTACAGTATTGTTGGTGATGGTGTCAAATGCAAATCTAGAACATAGTAATAGCTGTTTGTTTCCTGTATGCCATTAGTATGCTGGCAAAATTGATATTTTTTGCTTTACGTAATATATATACAGTATGATGACAGTGAGGATGCACTCTGGCTGGATGAGGAGGGTGAAGATATGAGCTACCTTGAGATGCTAAATGTCAGGTTTGTTTGTCAATGATTGTTATCACTGATCACTATGATCATAGCTTGCACTATGGCAATATTCTCAACTTCTGTGTTTCTGTTGTATGACTTTGCAAATCGTGTGTGAAATTTGACAAGATTTAATCTCTTTATGACTTAAAGAGGGTAATATCAAGTTCCCTTGTAACAAATTGTTGTTGTGTATAAAGGACAATGCCAACTTTACTCAGTCCTTGTTGACACCTCTTGCTTTGGCTTAACACAATGGATAACCTTTTACAGGGCGTTTCAACTTTGCTTGGTAAACTATTTCATCGCATTACGTCACTTTGCATTATGCGGATAGCTCTCTGTGTTTACTGTTATGTCTAGTTACGTAATGCCTCTTTGCGTTATGCCTTCTTCCGTTACGCCAACTTGCGTTATGCCTCTTTGCGTTATGCATATCTGTGTTATGACTATTCACAGAATCAGCTTGTTGCCATTAGACTCATGTATTCATGATTGTGATAATTTTATATCAATTACTGAGTACTGAATTTTGTCACAGAGAATTCACAATGAGTCTTTCTGTAGCTCATTTTTAGAGCACCCAATTGGTATCTGGAAGGTCATGGGTTCAAATCCTGTCAAGGACTCAGATCTTGATATTGAAAACAATGTTGTGAACCAGTACGGAGAGTAAGTTTGGACACAACAGTAATTTTATGGCATTGACCATGTACATAATTGATTCTAGATTGTAAACTTTATTTTACAGGGATGCAGTGGACAAAAAAGTGCAGTTTTTTGATGCTCAACAACTGGAGAGACTTACTGAACAACTGCAGCAGGTATGCCCAGTGTCTTGTACCATCTGTAGGCAAATTTCATGCCGTGTTAAGAGGTCCAGGTCATGATCGTGTCACACTATGTTAAAAGGTCTATGTCAAGCTAGAGTCACATCATGTTTTAAGGACTTAGTCACGCTATGCATTAGTGTAATACCATAGTTTAATGTCCATGTCTTGCTAGTGTCACACCATGTTATAAGGTCTATAATCATGCCAGTGTTCCCTTATGTTTGATNAGGATGGAGAAGATTAACACGGATTACAAACGACGAATTTGAAAAATTGAGGCTAAACTTTTCAATATGCGCAAACCGTGACGTAGCTCCTTTAAAGCAGTCAAGTCGTGCCATTTGGTGATTTTTATCTATTTAATTATGAGCTGAAAAGGTTGCAGTGAGCGGTTATGAGCGCCTTGTTTAACGTTCACTGCGTATTCTAAAGTTATAACAATCAAGTCCTAAAATGTATGTTGTTGGCATTTAGCGTGTTTGTTTTATCAGCCTTACTGTTATAGCTCAGCTGTGAAAGCATCCCCGTCTTCAGTGCCATAAGTCAGAAAAAGTCATACTTGGTAAATTATATTCAAAGTGTTCTCAAGGCGGCTGGAACGTTGCCTTTTCCACCGCCCTACCCTTCCCTCCCTCCTTGCAGCATTGTAAGAAGATTTTAGCTAACCTTTAGTTTTGTTTACAGCATGCACAACTCCTGACACAGATATTTCTGATGGCCCGCGAGGATGACAGCCTGGGTAAAGAAGCACAACTAACTCGAGACTATGTCAATGAACTGAAAGGTTTCCATGACAGAGCATCCAATGCTCAGCTGATCAGGGGACTGGGGGATGGTAAAGTACATGCCTCAGCTTTCAGCTTCCCAGGCCTGGAGCAAGCTGTAGAGTAAGTTACTCGTATGCAGTAATATTGGTTAAATTTTGTCTGATGTATCGTCACATAGCTTACACATTAGGTCTAATGCCAAAAAATAAGCTTAATTTTCCCTCGGCAGTGTTAATAGCACAAAGGCTAGTGGGGCCGAGCAAACAACTGAAACAAATAATTCAAATTGAACATAACATAGTCAAGAATCCGAACTGGCCGGAGGCAAACCAGTTGGCTATTTACAAGCGTGGTCAGAGCGGAACTCGGGACCGCTGGATTGCGAGTCCGACGCGCTGACCACTCGCCATGTTGCCTCCATAAAAGAACACAGTAAGGAAATAACTATCGACGAAGCCAGGAATAGGAAAAGCAGATGGCATGATCAGTCCGCGGTTTCTGAAGTAACTAGGCATAATACATTATAAAAGTATGTGGACATTTTACGCGGATTTCATTTTTGCTTATTTGGGTATCTCTGACAACTTGGTCACTCGTATAAGTGCTACTATGACGAAATTTTCATCTTTTTTTTTCGGACTGTTTCCCTTGAAAATTTAAAATATAGGTCCAAACTAAAGCAAATTTCCATAAATCGCATCCGTCTTAACTTTTTCTTCCGTGATATAGCCCACCAAAAATCGTAAAAACTCGTCCGCCATTGCTTCGTTCACAAACGTAGAGTGTAAGAGTGAAGCAAATTTACAAGGTATTGAAACACGCGGTAGCCGATTAGTGTTGTAGAGATAACGACAACAACTTTTTTGCGGCTTGTTTTAAATAGTTACAAGCGGGTGAAAAGTATCGTTTGTAGCATGTCGTGCTTGTTAAACTTGTGATGTCTTTTTACAGAATCGTTAACAGCACCTTTGTTCCTAAGAGAAGAACATCGAGCCCACGAAAATGCACCACGCCTAAAAAAGACAAACCTCCCGCCAAAACAGGAAGGCGTTCAAAAACTCTAACCGAAGACCTTCTTCCAACACTATCAGAAACCAACATACAGCTCATGGCTACCAACAAAAGCGTTTTCCGTTTTGTGGAGCTCCTTCCTCATCATGGTCTGTTACCAAGAACAGGAGACACACCCAAACAGCTCAATGGACTCAGAGTGAAATTCTCAGACGCAGAAGACAATCTTCTAGCACTGGGTATGAAGCAGCTGGGTAAAAAGTGGGATCTGATACAGGAGCATCTTCTTCCCGTCAAGAGCCCCAAACAGCTACAGATTCGCTGTAAAAATCTGCTTTCAGCCCGCGCGCCTGAGAACATCATCAAGTACTATCGCAGGAATAAAGAACTGTGGCACTTACCAACCAAGATACAGGTTTACGTAGGTAAGGGTTAAGTGACAATGTAACGAACCATTTGAACGTATCATTTAAGAAGTACTAATGTGTCCCGCCTAAAGTTACCGGTAGATAACGTCCTTTCTCAAGGCGTCTTCCACTTGAAGCTTTCCTTACGGGTCTTATTGTTCAAGTTAGAGGAATTTGGTTGTGTCAAATGAATACCTTTAGTATAACTTTCTTACTTTTTCCCAGTTACAATCCTCCCTAGGAATAAGAGGTGGAGTTTGATATATTTACCCATTAATCTATAATTCTTAGCGCACGAAAGCTTTAACAATGCTCATAAGAACCTAACCTGCAATTTAGCCGGGAAAAGAACGCCTGATCAGAGGTTAACAAAAACCTACAGAAAAGTTCGGAAAATCTTGAAACCTAGCGTGCACAATGTCGTTAGCACCGGGACAAATATTGCAAAAGAAATGCTTTCTTTGTACTTTATGGGCTGTTTAAGGTTCGCTTGGGTATTGTGGTAAAATGTACGACCGCCATGATCCTTTTTCCTACGGAGGATTCACTTTCTTTTATTACGTTTTCTAATACTGCCTGAAACAGGCCTGCTAAGACGTTGGTCACATTTGAGCTCAAAGTATAACTGAGCTGCAACTCGTTGTTGCTCGTTTTGCGTGTTTCTTGAGCGTGTGGACTTCAGTTTTTGTCTTCCCCGTTCCTAACAGTTTGCTTTTATACGGAACGCTGTAGCCATGGTTCACACACAGAAACTCCTAAATTTTACCAGCAGTCACGTGAGAAATGAACTTTATATGAATAAAATACCGATCCAAGCTCATGCATGTTTTCCCAGTCGTTATGGAGAGCCCTCGTAATTTACTTTCTTCCCAAACTTCTTTCCTTAGAGTCTAATGGCCGCAGGGTACGGGTTAGAGAGTCACTGGAACCAGACTGGTTCATAAACTACAAGAAAAAACAAAAGGAGTACCGAGATAGTCAAGAGAAAAGCGAGCCTACCATTGTTCAGCAAAGCATAGTAGAGAGTCCGTCGTATAGCCGGCCAATCGTGCCTAAGCTTAGTGGAGGAGCGTACACTGTAGCCTTACCAACTGGTTCGTCTCCTAGTGACCGAGGACAGGTAGCATGGCTGACTATTACAAGCAGTACAAGCCCATGGAAGGCTTTAACTCCAGCTCAACCGGTTGAGGATGTATGCGAACGGGAGGATACCTTGGTTGCAGGCAACGTGGCAAGTGTTCGATCATCGCCTCCCGTCAGGTATGTTTGAACTGACTCCGTGACTTGCTCCCCGTAGCGCAGATAAGCATCACGTTTCTAAGAAGCGCCACTTTCTTTGAGCGCTTTTCAGTCCTGTTAATACTTAGCACAGAAGTTCACTAATCCTGACTAATAACTTCTCCGTCTCTGGCCATTTCTGCCTACTACTTTCGTTATCTGGTCCGCTACTTCATGTAGGAACCATTTGGGCTGGTGGCCTTATGAAATTATCTCTGGGAAGTAAGAGATCTTACTGTTAATCCGACTTGGGTTCATTGCTTCATATTAATGCTGAAGAACTGGTCATCTGTTATGATAATAAATTTCCATATGTGACTCCATGTGCCGTCGTCTCATGGCTCCCACTTTAAAGCTTCCTTCATGGATTTCTTTCCGCATTTCTCAATGAAATTGTTTGCAGCCTTAAGATAAGCATCTTTGTCTTTATTAAAGCATCCTTGAGTTTTCAAATTGGATCATCGCGGTAGTTACTTTGTCCGCCACGCCCGTACATTTCTACGAGCAGCTTATTTGGAAAGAGTTGACGTTACTTTTATTTCGTTACAGTGTTGGCCAAGATACTGTCACACAAGCAAATGAGGATCGAGCGCCATTACCCGCTCCTGCCTCAGCAACACAAACTGATGTAGATGTTAACATAAACCCTTCACCAGCAAACGACGAGCCTGTTGTACCGACACACCAGACAGAGAAGGAAATAACTACTACAATTACTGCTGATGATTCCAAGTCCTTAAGTACCAATTCAAACTCAAAAGAAACTAGCAAAGAAAATAATTCAAAAGACTCGACGGAAAAGGTAACTTCAGAAGGTTCAACCAACAAGCCGACGACATCCTCAAAAGCGAAGGCATCGCGTGACAAGAATGCAGGGAGCGTGACAGGTGGTCGGGTGACATCAAAGTCACACAGCTCTGGCTCCGAGAGTGGAGGAAATGCCGGTGGGACTTCCCGCAAGCCTGCACCAAACTCACAAGCCGGCTGGGCGGGGAACTATATCTTGGAGCCAGACCCAAAGGTATAGCAGTGACAATATTCAACTGTTAAAGGCGCTCAGTCATGGCATTTTGAAGGTCATTGTATTATTTTGGCCACATACAAAATAACCTGAGAATAATAGTTAAGATGATTTCCGTAGAACATTCGAGCAACAATGGCAAAAATTAAGTTACCAAAAAAAAAACCTCATGGCATGGTAATATTTTGAATACAGCTAAGAAGAACTTATTGAGACTTAGGCTCTCAAGCTGACCCCGCGAGAGAAAATCGAACTTGAAGTTATCCATATTCCAATTAAGAAAGACGTTTCGCGTTAGTTAAAAACATAACAACACACGCTTTAACCATTCTTACGAGGTTAGACATTAACTTTCTCGAGAATGCTTGAGAATTTAATCGCGGGGTCACTTAGAGAAATGAACGATAACCAAACCCATTTATCTCAGTGTATGCTTACGTGCTATGCGCATTAAAGAACCTTGATATCATCATCACCGTATTGTTAAACATGTGGTTAATGTCGTTTACGCTTCGTTATTTCAGTTCAGAAATCGCGCTCACGCATTTGCGGAAGGGTTTTTGGCTAAAGTCAAGGTATGTGAGTCCTTAATAGATTAGTTAGAACGGTTTTCAATTGAGTGTTGTAAAACCTAAGCCAAAGTAATTACCTTAGCCAATCACAAAGAACACAGACAATCCAGTGAACCAATCAAAACTCGAGGCAAAGACGTGTATCCGACGCAAAGAGCGGGAAAACGTGTGCGAGCGAGTCACCATTGGCATTATGTGCCACTTACGCGCGAAGAGGATTATGTAATCACAAAAAACGCAGAGAATCCAGTGAACCAATCAAAATAAGTGTGGCTGGAGCGAAGCAGAGGAAAACGTGTTCGCGCCAGTCGGCTTGATTGATTGTGGCTTTACTTCTGACTGGAAGACAAAGTGGGGCTAGTTTTCTAAGCCAATCGCGTAGCGTCGTAAAGCAAAACCAATTACTTTTTGATACTCAAATGAAATCTGCTCTAAGATGTAATTACTTCTTTCCTTTCATGTTCCTGTCATTTCAAAAACATCACATAGCCCAACAACTCAAAGCTCGCTGAAGTAAACTTACTGTCTAAACCGTTTCTCTTGTACACTTGCAATAGTTTTGTTTGGTTTTTCGTTGACAGAAGCAGCTTAGCGATGACCCAGTAACATATGAAGAATTCTTACGCACACTTGCACTGTCTTCCGCGGAGCAATGTTCACCAGTGGAGGTATGTATAGCCTCTTACCTGGTGAGGCCAATACGAGCTTAAAAGTTCACTAGAGAGGAGTTTGAAGTCTTACTTGCGCTGAGCTTTGTTATATAACGTGACGAGGTAGTCTGGGCTGTCACGTCGTGAAGCGTTGCGTAACCTAAATACGACTGCGAAGGAGATTACGTGACGGGGCGCTTGATCTATTTCGTGTTCAAAGCTCAGTTTTCCCTGCAATGTTTCAAGACGTTTTCTAGTTGTGGAACTAAAGTCAATAATGGTAATCACAAGAGTCCCGGTCAATCAATACGGCCACTAAGAGTGAAACAAAAAAATGAGAACTGCATGTAAAAGCATGTACTGTAGCCACTTCAAAGGTGCTGAGAGAATTTTCAATGAGTTTTCTGTGTATCATATTGACCGGGAAAGAAATCATCGTGATTTGTCAGCACGCGTTTAGAAATTTCATGGACCAATTATAAAGCGAGAAAATGTGTTATTACTTTGTAGCGCTGAAGGAAACGGTATTTTTTACTCACTAAAAAATCTCTCCTCTCTTACTCCCCAATCTAAATCAAGTTCTGAATCAGTCATTTCTAGCACTACAATATGTTTAAGGACAAGAACATGCTATGCCAGTGCTTGTTCTAAATTCCTCAGTTCAGTGAAAAGGGAAAATTACTTCAAGCCACGTGCAGTGTAGAATGAAGTCTAACGCTCTTAACTCACTTTCCTATTGTTTTGTAGTTGTACAGGAGGGTTGAAGTGGTTCTTGCTCAGTACCCTGGTCTTGTGGAGGGGTTTGTTGGATTTTTAGAACCTGACCAGGCGGTAGAAGCAGGCGTGGTAAGTCTTTTGATGAAACTAACAAGAAAAACAGCATACTTAACAATTGTTCCACAAGCGCGCGTTGAATATGAGATGGTGGGTAGCGATCTCATATCCAACAAGGCGAGTGAAGTGTTTTTTTTTTTTATCAAAAATGATCCCAAAATATAGAAAATTAAAATAAACCAAAAATAAAAAACGCCCAAAAAGTTTACGCGTACGCTACCATATTTGTAGAGCATAGTATAATGGCTCGTATACCATGATGGCTAAGCCAATGAAAACTCTTGGATTGCACTATCCAATGATCAAGTTTCAAATAAAAGGCTTTATAGAGACTGTCCATCGACAGTTATTTACAAAATAAATATACTACACCTTTTGCTGTTCATTTACAGAAAATAAACATTCATTTGTGTCCAAATTTCTTTCACTATGGTCATTAAACTCTCATTAATACCAATATGACCTTCATTTGCGCGTAAGGAACGTTCAAGAAAAACATTTACATATGCATTAACATTCAAAATCATCAAAAGAAAAACAATACGTTCATTTGGCATTCATTGACTGTAAATGCATTTTCATTTTGGTCGAAAAAAAATTCGTTGTCACGAAACGACAATCATTTACACTTTAGGACATTCAGTTTTCAACAAAAGACTTTCAATAACACAAT